CATAGAACGTAATGATGTTAGTTATTAGAATACGATGTTGCCATTAGTTTGATGACATAAGGGGAAACTATGTGAAAATGACAACAGTGATGGATTACATCCCAATGTCCACAGAAGTTGCCAGGCCATCGATATATAACTCTTACTGTACTCTAGAGAAACCTGATGCTATTCTCTATATCCAATCGTTACCCCTCCCTTATATAATTCTAAGGATCACAGTTAGAGTGTCGACCATACTAAACTGTAACTCTCTATCCTCCATCCTACACTACCCTGATAATCGGAGCTGACATTCCATGTACTTCTAACCTTTCTTCAGGTCTACCCTGGTAATTATAGTTGACCTCTTAACCCTTGTAAAACGCCACTGTCTATCCTTCCTACAACTCTACCCTGTTACGGTCACCGCTGGCATGCCGACCACTCCAAGTCATAACTCTCTACGCTATCTCATACATGAGATAACCCAAGTCGTTCACAGCTAACGCACGGAGATGGTATTTGAGACACTTTTGAGTACATCATTCTTCAATCTGCCTTTATTCTGACTATGACAATTCTCTTTTAGTAGAACAATTAATTTTTTTTAAATTTGCTCCAAAATCTAGGAGGGGCAGCTACCCTCCTTGCCCCCGCAGGCTATAGCCCTGACGTACTACTTAGAAACCCTCAGCTATATTGATGAGTTAGCCCCTTCATTCTTGCTACTCTAGATCTGTCTATCTCACCTACGAGGTTTTAGCCATAGAAACAAGCACCGACTTAACGATTAACAACACACTAAAGCCACTTCATTTCTCATCTATCTTCGCTTCTCAACTGGCATCTGGCAACCCTGAACGAAATTCGATATGGCCTGTGAGGCAGCGCTAGCCCAGCATGCTGTCTTGAGTCCATCCAAAGCATGCGCAGACTTTGGATGGGCCACAATCCTGAAAGCGATCTACTCTATGTTCCGCTTCCAGTGTGTGCACGTGAAGAGTACGCAGAATAGTGCCGGTGTATGTAGTCTGAAATAGATCCGGGAGAACACATACCAAACAACAGCAAACTGTTCAGGACATGGGAGAAAAGCTCCTGCGGAAGCTGGGGTTGCTCGCTAGTGACAGACTTTGGGCGGCGCACTGGCGGCAGCTTTACGGGCAATGGCTGTTCACTGTAATTACACCTGTTAGGGGGATGTGTCTCTCCAGACGCTGCAAAGCACACAGTTTCACACCGTTTTCAACATATGCGCACCGAGCGAAACGCGCGTCTGCGACACACCGCAGACGCGCGTGTGTGTTCTATTCACGTTTCATCATCGTATATTTTCTGACAGGTTTCGTGAAATACACCAAATACGTTTTGCTCTCGTCGTGGTTTGTTGCAACAGCATCATACGTTCGTCATATGAGACCGTTCTGATCTTTATTAGTTGGATGCTTACTATATTGGAAGCTTGCAACATTGTCTCGAAAACCTGCTATTCGCTATTTGGCTGAATGCCCTTAATATGCTTTAGATGTCCTATGAAATGTATATATAAATTCGTTGTTCTATCTGATCTTCTTAATTTACCTACTAGCTATTGAATGAAGCTCTAGAAGAAGAATCACAAAATAAATATCAAGGATGAAGCTAAAATCACAATAAATTCATCTTTGCTCAGAAAGAGATACATTAAGTCTCGTGTAAGGTTTTTGTCCAAGATCAGTGCCAGGAATAAAATATTGTTACAGTTTCAGTAACGAAAAGATTTGAATGTTTTATAATTCTACCTCGATAAATAATAACTGGAGAGACATCCCCCTGTACAAATGACAAAGGCTGCACAACACAAATGATGGATTGAACACACAGTCGCCACAAAATACAAGAATTAGACAAGTTAGCTCCTCTATGATAAAGCATATATGCTTACACGTTTCTCATCAATTATTAATATGATGTTAGTTGCAAAAATGCAGTACATAACGCAACACTTTTACATTAATATCTATATACAAGCAACATGTAAGGATTATCGTTGCAGTCAATTACAGCACGTTTGCTTCCATGCACTATAAGCTTGCTCAGGATATAGTATATGCACGCTAGTCTGAGGGAACATCTGACAGGGAACACTAGGCGAACCGGACATCCTATAAATAATATTCACATCATCAAATTCTTACACGGTAGCTACTTGTACAACGCAATTAACTACGTACTGCACGCAACTGGTTGCACCGTGGAATTAGCTCAATTTTCCCCGAACCGACTAAACTATGGGAACGAGTAGCAAACCTCGAGACTGCGCCCGGTTGAGCAGGCTTCCGGGAGCGGAGAACGCCCTCTGGTAGGGATATTTAGCAGCGAGGCTCACTGCCATGGAGCGGATGTTCGATGTCCGTGCCACGGCGAATCTTGCGCGATTCAGCTTCTTCATGAAGGTTTCATTGTCCGGCGCGCTGCTCTTCAGATCTGCAGAAAATCGTTCAAGAATAAAGAAATTATGATAACATGTCACATCGCACGTTTCGATAGTAGTGGCAATGTTTCACTGGTAATGCTATTTTCATTATAATTTTTCATGATATACGCAGAGTAATATGCAACTTTCTCCAATTATTCCTAACATATTATACAAGTTAAAAGCTATTTCGTGAGAGAAATCATATGAAAAGTCAGAACCTTTACAGTAGGCCTACAGTCGTTTAACAGTTCAGGAATTATTACGATAAAGTATATTCTTGTCAATTAACATTTCAGTTTTAAATAATTTACTTGTGTTACAACTACATATCTCCTTTCATATTTTATCCATTTTTAAGTACAGAAAACACCAAGCCACACCGTGCAGAACTGTCAACAAATAGATTATATATATATAATACCAAACCGCAAAAATCATGACATCTGTAATGATGAAAAACCATCCAAGAAAACGTTAGTAGGTAATTACGTATATATAAACAAGCCCATATATAAAAATGACCAACAAGGATGTAGATATTCAGCCAAGACGTTGCATCATTTCAAAAGGTATGACACATAAAGTGTACACATAAATTGAAGTACAGCGATGTAAGAGACGAAAGAACTCAAAATAGCAAAGACATACATTACAACATTTCGCATATATAGATATATATATATATACTCCTATATATATACATTTATACATACATAGACATATATCTTGTAAAATCGAGAATGATGTTGAGGACTAAAGGACAAGATGGCAGCCATGCAATACCGCAGGCAAACCTCACCCTGCTCATTTGACTCATCATCACATGAGACCTCAGCTACCTTGAATGGCCTGTTTACAAAATCTGTGAGAGAAAAAAATGGGCGACCAAAAAAGTGGTTATGGCAAAAAAACAAATTAATAAAACAACCATTCAACTGCTTTCAAGGCAAAAGAAAAGTCTACAGATACGGTACATGTCTACCAGAAGGTGCGTCTCTAGAATTAGCCAGGCTATGTGAAATTTAGGTGTTTACGTTAGTACAAATGTTAAACTAAATTGAGCTAAAATAACGTAATTCAACATTTCTAGTGAGGTGAAAATCTGACTGCACCTTGCAGTTATCTAAGAAAAAAATTGAAAGAATTAAAACATGTGATATAGCAAAACATCTAAGCAAATGACAGATTAATTAGACAACACTGTGAGTAAAAATTCATGTTTATATATAAACATATATTACTGTAGTTGTTTTCTGCATGTATGGGGGTAGAATGTTACTTTTAATTTGTGGCAGAAAAAAGAAGGTATTTAAAATAGTTGAATAATATATGGAGCATGGAGTCGTCTTAGAAAATCCAACTGATCTCCATTTTTGACATATAAATTTCCTCTCACCCTTTTCTACCCCACCCTGGCTCAACCAATCAACACATCTACGTATAAGGTATAATAAGTAAACACCTAAACACATTAGAAATACTACATGTGGATTTCTGTGCAAGCTATAACTACTATAATATAACTGTGCATCTATGCATGATAATATAAAAACACAGAAGAGTAAAATGACAAATGGAATGCTTACGCACGCATGATGCCATTGTATTCTTGCGTGTTTTATCGACGCCATCTACAACGCTACACTGCAGACTATAAAAAGGGCAACACACAACGAAAATCGTCGTGAAAATTAACGACTCAACCAAGTGCAAGAAGACACTATATAAAGGGTTGCTTATGTATGTGCAAGATGCCGTCGTCACGCCAGCAAGCAAAGATTTGCGGCGTCCGTCGATCCCTCGCGTCATCTCGCCCCCGCCGCGCTCGCCGACGGCGAAGCGCGAGACGCGGCGCCGGCAGACGCCCCGCCGAGGAGCCACCTTGACGTATTTACGCGCTCTGCACATCGACGACCGCCGCCGCCGTACAACCGCTCCTACCTGTCGGGTAGGCGATCTCGCCGCTCGACTCCAGGTCGACCTGCGCCTCGAGACACAGCGCGTCGAAGCGGTTGTAGAAGAACTCCCAGGAGAGCACGGGCATGGTCTTGACTCGGCGGAAGAGCTGGTACAGCCGCAGGATGATCCACGGCCGGTCGGCTATCACCGAGTCGAACTGCTGCTCCAGGCAGTAGACGAGGCACTGCGGCGAGAGAGAGAAACGCGCTCGCTGCCCGCAGGTGGTTTCGCATCGACACGATTACCATTACGGCATATTATATAGCAGCATATATAGCAGCATATATAGCAGCATATATGCAGAAAATGTAGCAGCATATATGCAGAATATGTAGCAGCATATATGCAGAATATGTAGCAGCATATATGGAGCATATATAGCATATTATAAGCAGAAAATGTGCTGAAACGTCTACAGTCAAAAATCGTGAGAAAAAATATGGTGAAATGCTGAATTCATATTGGCATGGCTATCTATTTATTGGGAATTCCACCAGCCAGGATGCATTGAGCGGTGCGTTACTACGGTTTGTTTTCATCGGCTCGAATCTACATCCGGTCAAATAGTCAAAAGTTCCCGGATGTCCGCCCCCACCAATACCTGCAACCACTCCAGTGCTTGCTCCTGTACGGGGGAGGGGCAGTTCTTGAAACGCACAGACACAAAGTTGTACATCTTTTCCACTGAGAATGGCAGAGGACATAGTTCCAAGTCAAAGGTTTTGCTGCAAAAATAACACAATGAATGACCTTCATTTTCTTTCCTTGCATCGCCTCACCACCACCCAACATCCTTTTTCCTCAAATGTAATTCACTTCTTTATTTCGATACTAACCCCCCGCTCTTCTAAATCATTTTCTCTATATAATAAATTACACGACTGAAAAATGTTTGGTATTCAATGATAATGAAAATGTCAATGACACTGTAGCTCACCTTGGGTGTGATAGAAGAGGGAGGGGGGGATATATAAAGCAAGAGTATATATGGGAGAACTCCCATTATATAGCATATCTCCCATTATATAGCATATCTCCCATTATATACTCTTGATAATGATATATGCATAAGTTTTGATGCAAAAATTAATGTTTCAGATCTGAAAGTCTGAAATCTTGAAGAAAGATGGTGCTACGCCTAAATGATGGCCATTTTGGTTTTCGAATATCGCGCAAATAAAAACAATAAAATATTCCAGTCAAATTACTGTAACGAAGAATCTAAAACACAATATTACACGTATATAGGTATGATTGTGGATCGAGTTGTTGACCATGCAGTTAGACGAAATAAACGTAATAGGACGTTAATTGTTATCTCTCCCATAGGAGTAACAACTGTTTTGGGGCTAGCCTTACGCATTCACATAGCAAAATTTAACAAAATCGAATGAATTTAGATGGCCATTTCCATTTTTGCCAAAAAGTGGTCGTGGCTCGAAAGTAGGTCGACTGCCGTGCTCCAAAATAGGACGTTCAAACCTTTCCCATAGGAGTAACAACTATATGCAATTTGAAACATGTGGGTCAAACGGTTCTTGAGTTATCGTTGACCGTAGCCAAATGTTGACGGACGAACGGACGACACCCCATGACAATAGCTCATCTTGACGATGTCAAGGCGAGCTAAAAATGATACTTGATAATCATTCTATCATCTCGCTCAAAAGTAAAATTCCAGCAAGACGAGATACAGATATAAATTTTACTCACCACAGGAGCACTTTCAGCTCAGGCAGTTCGTCTTCTGGAATAATAGTCTGTAAGCCTTCCAGCCAGTACGGCATGATGTAATCCCACACCTCAAAACTGATGATGTCATAGGGGATGAGGCAAAAAAGCCTATTGAGGCCATCTTTGATTCTAGTAGTTGCAGTAGCCAGTGTGTCCCTGAATGGCAAATAAAGGTGCTTGATTATTAACATATATGCAAAACGAGAACTTTTAACAACTACAGTTAACCCTGTGCTAGCAGCGATCTTTAAGGAATGGACACCTGTCTATAATGGATACTCTTGGCATTTCCCCCAAATCTTCTTTATCTACAGGATTGACTGAATATAGAGTTTAATTCCAAACGGGTAGTTTTCGAACAAAAAAACAGCCACGGGTCAACAATTACGTTGAGCTCACAGCTTCCTCTGGATTCCCCTGAATGATTTAGCTGCTGTAGAAGACTTAATAAATGTAGTACACTCACCAGTGTCCTCCCACACGCGCATATTCCGGCGGATCCGGCAACAAGCACGAGACGAAGACGTTGAAGTGAACCTTGCGCACAGCCGTCACCCATTTAAATATGTACTACGAAATATAAAAACAATGACGTTGCCTTTAATAAATCTCCGTGTTGAGAACTAAAATACAACTTTCATATACCACGATAGATCAATCCCCGGGTATAAGAGATGGCCCTGTGAAAATTGCATCCAGATCGCTTGGGCGGTTTGGCCGCCTATAGGGAAGATACATAGATACATAGATACATAGATACATAGATACATAGATACATAGATACATAGATACATAGATACATACATACGAACTCAAATATATATTAGATAAACACATACATATATATAATATACACACACACGTTTATATCCCTTACTGCTACCCGTCACTAATATCATCATCACATGACGAGGAATAAACAAAAAGAATTGAGAACAACAGACATAGCGGACATGCAGACACTGATGATGGACAAATATTCATGGCATGGCATTGTGAAATCTCGGATGCGTCCGCTGAGTAGTAGTAGTAGTAGTAGTAAAGAACAACAAGAACTGTTCTTACCGTACAAGAAACATAACAAAGAATAGTATAGAAATGTATAATATAATACAAAGACATGTACTTAACTTTTAAAACGCAGAAAAACATGTAAGTATGTACGTACTTGGGGATGAGAAGGTTCTCCTGTGACCAGACGAGGAAGCCGCGGTGGTCGCGCGCAGCCTTGTTCAGAGACTCCGCATGCAGGAAGAGCAGCTTCAAACACTTCAGCAGGTTATAGATGACATCCGGATCCCTCTGCTCACCGAGGTCCTGAAGAAGGGGGGAAGTCATTACGCGCAACGTCATCAAGTAGTTGAGATACAATCCTAACATGTATCGTTGTCGATCTGCTACTTACTCCACGTGTGAGACGTCACGACTTTTGAAGCAAAGTGTCATGCATAACCATAACCATAGACCTAACTTTAGTCATAATAATTACGTTTTTTTATTATGATTAATGAACGAGGCCCTTGATCGTTAGTACAGAGCATTAATCAATCAAATTCATTATAACAATATCCCCGAAACAAATTAAGGAGTGAATAACTTGCATCCCACTTGATGTGGTGCCCCTGAAATATTCTGGTAAACAGAATATAAAACTGTAATACTTGCCATGCCCTAAAAAATTTACAATGCAACCTCTTGTTTATGGAGATATGACTGTCGTACGCGCGTAGCACTGACTGCTCCAGTGTTGACCCACCTTCAGGATTGAGTAGATTAGCTGCAGCTGCACTGGAAGCTCCTCAATGAAAAACTTGAACTTTCCCTGAGTCGTCAACCAGAAGCTGGAGTCATCCTCCTCCTTGATCGTACGCTCGTTCTCGTCCACCAGTGTTGCCGTGGCGACCTGCACAAAGATACACCCTCTGCTATAGTGCGGGGGCTCATGTGGGAACTTTTCGACATCGAACAGTCCGTACTTTTAGTTCGGTAATTACAGGAATCATAGATTTTGTGTGGATCATGTCTTTGTCAGAAAGAACTTTGCATGAACATATCTACACCCCGATATACCTATCTATCTGAACTACCTCACACACCTGCTCCAAACATACATCGATTTTTTTATGGTGTCACGAAAAAAAAATCGCAAAATTAACCGATGTAAAACCAACGCCCCACCGACTCCCAACGCTCTAGGAAGAGCATAAAAAACCGACGGGACGACCCACAAAGCTGAGTGACCTTGACCTTGACCTTGACCAACCTTCGCCTGCGCGAGGCCGACGTCGGTCTCTGTGAGTGTGACGGCGCGCGCGACCGCCGACACGACGTGCTCCTGCGGCATGGCCGCCAGCAGACCCAGCTCCTCCTCCTCCTCCACCTCCATCGCCATCATGATCTTAGGCCCCATCGGGTTCATCTCTATGTTCTCCTGCTGCTCCGGCTCGACCTTCACCTGCGACGAGTCACGCACGCTATAAAACTTGGAGAGCAGCGAAGTTATCTCGATCTTCTCCACTCGTAAGAGAAGAGAAACATGATATTACAGACTAGAGAGAGTGCAGACATTCTTAAAGTTACCTCCACTTGGATGATGAGACAGCACAACATCAAAAACTAGAGAGTGTATACGTACGTATGAGGAGAGATCTAACCCTCATGTAGAGAATAACACAACATGACGTAAAGAATGTGAACACACTTAAGACAGAAGAATTATTGAAAATTAAGTTGCGAGCAAACGAATTTTTAGCGACCACACAAATGTAAAACACTGATCGATTAGCCACAAACTTTAGAACGAACTTTAGAAGATATGCGAGTACTAACAAAACGGATATCTTTAGAAATAGCTGTGATCTACGTCTGTGTACAAACAGATTTTACAATGTCATTTTACGATGTCAGTCGATTCAACAACATGCAATTACTAGAAAGCAGAGCAATGCCACGACAAAAGGAAAATTAACATTATGGTAATTAATATGTCATTGTGTTAACATTTGCACAAAAAGCAAATTAGTGTCATGTATGCAAAATTAGATATTAACTAAATAAAGAACAAGATGGGTACAGCTAGCAATATCTTCTAAGTCAATAATATAGTAGAATACAAGTTAAAATGTTAGACATAAAACTGACATGTATGAAGACATCGGCATTAGCTACTAGGCCTACTACCACCTTCACCACTTGTCATATGATAACTTCAAGAGTAGATAATATAACAAGATGTTATATTATCTACTCTTGATAACTTGCATACATGGCCATCTTTCATTCACGTGTTAACTGAAGTATACCTGTGTATTAATTGCCATTACATTATGCATATACTTAATAATTATGTTCCTATAAAAACATTTTAATATACCGCATCAAACAAGATCTGAACACAAAGAATAATGACACTATACCAGATGCAAAAGCAGCTACCTGTTAACTTAAAAAGCCATGGAAGGTTTGTCAGTAATGGTAGGTGGCAGCATATATATAGATAGTACAAAATAATCATTATATTATCCAGACTGTAATTTAGCTTGAAATAGGAATAATTTCAATGTGTTAATAATCATCTAATGATATTTTACATTTTTTGGGGTAAAATAGTGTCATGCATTTTTTAAATGCTGCAATAAAGTCGAGGTCTCATTGTATGATTTTATCCTTGAACCTATATATTTAGTCAATTGTCTGCAATGAATATTCCCACAAATATGCCTACTGTTACATGTGTTAGCATGACAACATTGATTTTCGTGAATAATCAAACACATATATTAATAATATGTTACCCATTAACCTTGTAATTTCATTATCTAGACTGAGTAAAGAGGGGCCACACATATTTACATTTCAACTCCAATAGGTTTTCACTTGAAATTATAATGATTGACAAAACAACGTTAACAACAACGTCGCACATCAAACTGTCACGAATTTCGAAAAACAAATTAGGGAGACACTTTCGCTAGATCTTGACTAAATGCCTAATACATGCCTAATATTGATTTATCCAAGAGCAATGAGACCAGGACATTACATAGCAGGGTTTTAGCTTGTTAGCAGAATTCAATTGCAATCATAAATCTTCTCTAGGCCTGCGGAGTTGCACTTTTTTCACTATATATATTGTTTTAACCTTTTGTGGACAAAGAACATTTAGTGGAAAGCAGCTACACCCCTGTAAAAAAACAGTTGTCATTTTTAGTGCCACGTCAAACATACAAGAAAGTTTCACTTCAAATTAATTTCACATCAAACACCGATTAAATAAGCACGTACAGTTACAATTTCTTTCAATTAGTGCAGTGTTTCTCACATTGTGTTCATAGACACTATATCCGTGCATGTGTGTATAGATGGGTATTATTAATTGAAGAGGAATCTCTTTCTCTCTCTCTCTCTCCTCTCACTTACCCCACCTCTCTCTTTCCTATATATGTATACACGTACACACACACACGTACGCATGCACACACGCAGTGCACGCACGCACGCACGCACGCACGCACGCACGCACGCACGCACGCACGCACGCACGCACGCACACACACATATATACATATACACGTGTATAGATGTGAAACATGACACAAATCTAATCACGCTTTTCAATAATAACAAATGTTTTGGGGACAATTGCTAGCATGGTTATTAGCTATAGTTACTATACCTTAATTTTAATAAGCTGCACAGACATAGACAACACTCTTATAGTTTCACCACATAACTAGCAAATTTAGAGAAACGTCACAGTTACAAGTGTGGCCAAACAAACCAGTAAAACTGGCAGATTATAGACATCAGAATATATAAATAAGATCACATTGCAAAATAAATAAACAAAAGTGCCACACGTTGCTCAAAGAAGTGTATGTAAATAACTGAAGCTTGCATGTATGGAGCACACAAAAAGAGCAACCACTGATGATCTTTAATATATTCCACATTTCACACTTGCTAATTCACATTTAGCTCTTTTTACAACATATTTTAGCTCTCCAATGATTAAAAATCTGACGTAGATTTTTTTCAAAAAAAGCCTACATTCACATTCCTAATATATAACACTCTAATACATCAGGAGTACAAGACAAACAATTATTTAAAATCATGAAGCATCATTAAAATTTTTTTTAAACATACTCCTGATGATATGCACTGCGAAGGTCAATTTTGTACCTATTACTTCCACATACGTAAATTTTTACGTTAAGCACCTTTAAACTCCAATTGTAAAGCATAGGTTCTCGGCAACTGTGCTGCTTTGGTTCCCAAGTATCTCAATTTACTTACTGTGTTACTCGTATGTACCGTAATCTACCTGGGTCGCCTACCTGCTCATTAAGGTGTTGGACCAGGTCAATCCCTTTCTGCGTGTCGTCCTCCTTCTTCTCCTCCTCCTCGTCATCCTCCCACGCCTCCTCCACCCGCGGCTCGCCCGTCTTTGCCAGCTTGATTTCGGCCAGAGGACAGATATTCTCAAGCAGCTAAAACGCGTGCGAAATTAATGACCATGAAATAAAACATGCATTTATTTAGCCTACCACTAACACGCACACATGCCACGCAGGCATGCACAAACTCAGATATATATATATAATTACATTATATTATATTAAACGTCTTCGCATACCATCTGCCGTTCTACAAATCGATGCAAAACAAGAGCAAACCACCGACTCTGAAGGAGGGGTAAAAACAACAACGACGACGACATTCCCCCACGCTCCTCGGCAACAAATCCGCAGTCGACGGAGCTCACCAGTACGGAAGACTCCTTGATCGTTGCCAGGCTGTGTATGGCGTTCTGCGCGACGGCAGCATTGCAGTCCTCCATGGTGCCTATCAGGTAGCAGACGGCGTGTGCGAGAGCCGACTGTAGGATCTGATTGTCTCTCACGGGCTGCGCGTCCATGAATCGCGCCAGCACCGTCACCTTCTCAACTGCGCACACGAAAAGGAGCAAAGATGATGGTCAATTCCTTCCCTCTCGCTCGACTACGAACCGGTTTTACTATCAACTATCTACTAATCTATGATCGACTTAAGCTGGGTTTACACTACCGACTTTATGTTGTCAAATTGGCGAATTAGACCAATTTCGCAACTATACAACCGACAATCGGTAGTATAAACGCAAAAGTCGCGCACGCAACTGGTCGATAGCAACTAGTTGGCGAAAATAGAACATGTTCTAATCTCCCAAATAGTTGCTATCGACCAGCTGCTCGCGCGACTTTTGCGTTTGCACTGCCGATTGTTGCTACCACCACCACACTTTCGCGCGACCCCACGACCTAGACCCCCCCCCCCCCCCCGGCCGCTGCCCGTGCTGCCCTCTACCTGAGGCAAAGCGCGCCTTCCAGTCGTCGGCGGTGAAGTCGTCCTCGACGAGCTTCCAGAAGACGTCGGCGCCTGACGGCAGTGTGATGCAGTGCAGGATGAGGGGCACGCAGACGTGCGACAGCTGTGAGTAGCGAGCCTGCAGCAACTTCCAGAAGCTGCCAGGGCGAAAACCAACGACACAATATATACACACACACACACACACACACACATATATATATATATATATATATATATACTCCTATATATACATATATATATATATACTCGTATATATACATATATATATATATACTCGTATATATACATATATATATATATACTCCTATATATATACATTT